TCCCTAGCTGTTTCTCCTGATTTATCTGCACACAAATGTGGGACTGACCAGTCCACCAGCTGCTGCCTTGTGCGCCCCGTTCCACAATCCACCCCCTTGCTAGGTCTGCCAGCCACCACCTTGCCCAGAGTCCTCTCTGCCTGGCTGCCCGACTCCGCCCCTCCTACCGGCCTGGATGAATATATCTTCTTTAACTCTTTAGTTGTCGGACTTCCATACACTTCAATTATCTGTCAGTTCTGGTTGGGTTGTTTGTTTTTTTTTCAAATTGTTTTTGTCCTTCTTTTGGTTGTGCCAGGAGGCACAGTGTGTCTACCTATGCCTCCATCTTGGCTGGAAGTCCTCCATCTCAAGATCTTTGACTTAATCACTTTGCAAAGTCTCTCTCACCAGGTAAGGAAAGTAGTCACAAATTCTGAAGTTTGGGTCGTGGACACGGTCGGGTGTCATTACTCTGCCTACCATAGTCTCCCACCTGTTTGAGAGACGAATGATTCATTCTTCCTCTCTAGACCAGATTGATTAATGTGTTCTCATCAGTAAAAACATTTATTGATCATTTGTTTACACACACTTCCATATTCATATATACATTTTGAAATATAGCCCTCCCAAATAAATGTTTAAAGGGTGAAATTTAAATAAATGTAAACGGACACTCTCATGTTCCCCCATACCCAGCGGGTGGCCTTGCACCATCATGGCAAGCCCAAGCCCTCCTTGGAGACCCGTGTTCTGGACCGTCCTCTTTCTAGATTCATTGTCAATTGTTGTACTGAACACTTCTCCTCGCATCCTAGTTGCGTACCGTGCTTTGTACATGGTACAGTTGTGCTTCAGCTCCTGGATGATGACGTCCCCCAGAACACAGGTATTGATGGCGGTCAAACATGTTCAAATCCCAGGTCCTCCACCTACAGCCTGTCTGACCTTGATCACATTGCTCTGCCCTCTGGCCTCAGTGTTTTCACTGGCAGTAAGGGGTAATGCCTGCCCCCCAGGGCTGCTGCTGAGGAGTGAGTGGTCATTGGAATGTTAGTAATAATATGCCAGTAGAAGAACACTCTTTTGAGGTTAATGCTAGGCCCTTCAATTGGATTTAGTCTTCTTACCCGTGCTCGGCACATGTTTCCTGACTTTTTCTTAGGCTGACCACACCCACTGAAGTTCACTGTCATCCCTGGTACGTCAGTTCCCTCTAAGTCCTCTATCAGTTTCCCAGAGCTGTGGTAACAGAGGACCACAAACCAGGTGGCTTTCCAAGAGCAAGAATTCATTCCCTCCCAAGTCTGGAGTCTAGAAGCCTGACATGGAGGTGCCAGCAGGGCTGCGCTCTCTCTGAGTGCTCCGGGAGTGTCTTTCCTCGACGCTCCCAGCTCCGGGGCCCCTGGCACTCCCTGGTTGACAGCAGCATGGCTCCAGTCTCTGCCTGTCTTTGCGTGGCTTCTCTGTGTCCCCTTCTCTTCTTATGAGGACACCAGCGATTGGATTCAGGGCCTGTGGACATCGAGGATGATTTTGTCTCAAGATTCTTAACTAATTACATGGGCAAAGACCTTATTTGTAAATAGGGTCACCACCTGAGGTCCTAGGGGGACATCATCCGAGGAAACAATAGTGAAACCGCTACAATTCTCCATCACAGAACAGAATTTTTTATTTATTTATTTATTTATTTATTTACTTACTTACTTTATTTATTTATTTATTTATTTATTTTTTGGTGTGCGAGTTTTGGGAGGTGGCTGCCTTTGCCCGAAGCTGCTGGAGTCAGAGGTCAGGCCTTGGTGATGTCAGGGCCGGGAGCGCACAGACAGCAGACACGAAAACCAACTGTCTTGCCTCGTTGAGCCCAAGTTCCCTGGACCTTAGTGCCACTGCTCTTCACGGGGAAGAAAACCCACCAGTTGGTGTGTCTGGTTGCTGTTTGATGTGCAGCCCCGTGGTCCTTGTGGTGGTTCCCACTGGGGCGCTTGGCATTTTCTGAAGAAGAATTAAAAACAAGAAAAAGTGCTGTTTGATACCATTCAGCACTGTTTGCATTCGCAAGTTGTCGCCCCCATTGGACGATTCCCATTTAAAGTACAGATTCGCACGGACGAGCCTGACCAGGCTGCCTTTCCTCTCCGGTGGGTTCCCCTGCGGGCGTATCCATCACCAGTGGTTGTGGTACCACAGGAGTTTGCCAGTGAGGGGTTTGAATTCTCACCGGCAATTTCCAGCTGCAGGGGATAACAGCGGAGAGAATCGCAACAAAAACTGAGTTGTAGGATATGAGAACTCGCCGACTTTCCCCCTCGGAGTTTTATGCTGCTGGGCATTCCACAAGCCACTTTCCCTGTCCGTGAGCTCTCGCATCACATCATGAGCCTTACGAAACCAATGGCATTTCTCCTTGTGCCTGGCGAGTGAGGAAGTTCGGGGGCAATAGTGCTGTTTCAGTCATTGTTAGCCTAGATGTTCATGGCATCTGGGACTTGTCCGTGTGTGCATTGCATCCGTGTCTATTAGAAGGTTGCATTGCACGTGTGGTTTGCATCTTTCCCGGACATTTTCTCCTGCCCTGGCTGCTGTGACACTGCTCTCGCCCTCTGCATGTTTCTTCTGCTTCCTTCTTCGCTGCCTCTGCCCACCTTTTTAAGTGCCGGGTTTCTCAGGATGCCTGTTCGTCTCTGTCTGGACATGCAGCCCTTGGATTTCTTCTTTTTTAAAAAAAATTTGATTGATTGATTTTAGAGAGAGAGGAAAGGGGTCGGAGAGATATCGATTTGTTGTTCTACTTATTTATGCGCTCCTTGGTTGATTCTCGTATGTGCCCTGACCGGGGATCGAACCCAAAGCCCTGGAGCATTGGGACAGTACTCCAACCAACTGACCTACCTGGCCAGGGCCTGCCCTTGGATTTCTTATACACACTGAGCATTTTAACAGCTCCCTGGATACTGATGACTCTGACATCAGTATCTCCAGCTCAAAGTTGATTCAGATTCACATCCGTTTATTGAGTACCACGTATGTGTCGGGAAGTGTTGGGGGTCCCTTTCTGAACAGGCAGAGAGGGGCCCTGCCCTCACAGAGCTTCATTCTAATAGCTCTGGCTGAGCTATGAAGTCGGCTTATGTGCTGTTGCGCGTGGGTCACCGGCCAGCAGTGACCACGGAACGCTGTGGATGGCTCGCCGAAACACACGCGAGAAATAACAACATGCACAGAGACAAACTAGTTTCTGTGGGGAAGTAGGGACGGAATGGCCACCCCCCCTAGTGGGGAGCGTGCTGATTTACCGTCCATACCTGCTTTTATTAGGCTCATTTTGCATAGTAATTCAGGTAAAGTACAGTACTCATTCGGGGAAGTAAGGAACTACAGAAAACAAAGAACTCTGCCGGTCTATTGAGTTGGGGGTCAAAGAGCTGTAAGACTGAGGAACAAAATAACTTCCTCCTAAGACCCTTCTCATTCAACTGAGAGCATTCTAAACAAAGGAGGTTTCACAGTAATTTACATATTCTTTCTTTGGCCTGATCACCCTGGGGAATCCGCACTTCTCAGTACCGAGCTGCACCACCCTGTCATTGTTTCAGGCTTAGGTAGAGCAAGGGAACTAAGGCAACCAAGAGATAAGGAGATTTTCTTCCAGACGCTGAGAACTCAGACTTTGTCAAAGCCGAGGAGGGTCCATCACCCCCTTTTGCTGCAGCCCCCCAAGTCCTTTTGGGGGGCCTCCCAAAGTGATCGTGCCTGGCTTAGGTCGTTTCCCCCGTGGGAATCTTACCCGTCTTTGGCTAACCGACCAAGCTTTTGGGGGTTCAGTCATGAATAAAGCAGCAGAAGCAGCATTCCTGCCAGGGAGATAAGCCTTTGTCTCCTTGCTGGCTCATGGTTCCAAGGGCGTTCCCTTAGCCTTAGCTAGGTGGGGGTTTCAGCCTCTGATACCAGTCAGGGCGGTTCCCAACAATGTGCCATTCCCTCTGCCCACCCTCTCCAGCCGCCGGTCCCCACCCCGTCATTATTACCCTTGGACTGTTAGTAACCCTCTGGTCTCCCTTCTCTAATGCGCTGTAAGTTTTGTGAGGTGGGGGCCATGCCGTATTCATCTCAGCGTTTTATGCCTGGAGCAGTGCTTAGCACTTGGTAGATTCGCAGTATGTTTTCCTTGTTGAACTCAACTATCAGTTATGTGTAAATGACGCCATGTCTCAGCCTAAACTTCACCTTCTCAAGGACACATTCCTTGACCCTGCAGATACCATCCTCATGATAGGGTCTGTGATATCTTATGGTGTTTCTTCACAGCATTTTGTATAACTGTAACTTTTTCTTTTTCGAAAAAAAAATATTTTATTTATGTACTTGTAGAGAGAGAAGAAGGGAGGGAGAAAGAGAGGGAGAGAAACATCAGTGTGTGAGAGATATATTGATTGGTTGCCTCTCATGCACCCCCAGCTGGGGACTCGCCCGCAACCCAGGCATGTGCCCTGGCTGGGAACCAAATCCATGCCTTTCAGTTCTCAGGTCAGCGCTCAATCCACTGAGCCACACCAGCCAGGGCTATAACTATTCTTCAGCTGTCCACGTTATATGTTTAAATTTGGTCTGCAGCACTAAGTTGTAAATTCCATTGACGAGGTTAATGGTACAGCTACCATAAGTGCTTGGCCTATACTAAATATTCAATAAATACTTGCTAACTGATAAAGTGACAAGTTTTCTTGATGGATAAAAATCCTGAGAATGTACTGATGGAACCTATAGAAAACTTAGGCCTGATTGTCTGCTGGCCTAATGCCCCCCTCCACCTGCCTACAAATTGGAGAGGCTCCCGTGGGATGGTTTTAGATCGCAGAGGAGCCTTAGGGAAAACCACACCAAACAAATGAAGATTGAACACAGCAATGGAAACTCCAGATACGCTTTGAAATGCCTATTTTAAAATGTGATCTTTCAGTCTTCCCCCAGGAAATATAAACATTTCTTTCCTCTTTTTTTTTCCTTCCCAGGCTCTGAGACGACAACTTTCGAGCAAATTAAAGTTGAAAAAAACCAGGTAAACATTTTTGGTGATGTATTTGAAGTGTATGATTGAGACTGTAAAAAGCTACGGTCGAGGTTGCAGAAATGGACTTGGGAGAGCAGACACATCTAAAAAGGGTGCGAGATGCATCACAACCATTCTGGCACAGCTAAGGAATTTGCGGACTTGGATTCTTGGCAGAAATAACATTAACATTATTACGTTTATATGTGCAGACGCTTTAAGAAGCAAAAGGAAAAAAGACAAAAACATGAAAAATCACTCTGCTTCTTCTGTGTGGCCCAGGATTAGGGACATTTTGCAGAATCAATGTCTGCCCACAGTGGTCCTCTTGTTTCTGAGAGGACCCTTCATTAATGTTTATTGTTGCAAAAGTGATGCAGGCCGCGTTACGTAAGAACTTTAGGCTGCGTAGACATCTGTAAAGAAGAGTGGCGACCCCCCACCCCTTCTTTCTTTTCTCCCCTTCTCTCTCCTGTGAGAGAGAGGGGTGTCCAGTCTGTGCGGTGGTGTTAGGGACCCGAGGCCTGGCCAGGCAGTGGGGTGTGGCCGCCCCCACCCCCCGCCCCCGCGAGAGCTAGACAGTGCCTGCCGAGCAGTGTTCCTCGAACAATGTGGAACAATGTGGTGTCGGGACCCTGTCACGTTCGTAAAAATCACTACTGAGAAGTCAAAAACAATCTTGACTCATTTAAAAACAAGGCTAACAAACCCATTACACATGAACATAAATAACATGCATTTGATGAAAAATAACTACATTTTGCCAAATGAGAAAATTTTACTGAGAAAAGTGGCAGCGTTTTACGTTCACAAATCCCAGCGCTCGGCGTGATAGCGGACAGATTCTCGCAATGGCTTGCGTGTTCCGTCACCGGAGAGGTGAGATCGTCACTTCCCACGCCACGTAACCTCTGGGGAATGCCACCGTACATCTCGGGGAAGAATGGCAGTCGAGAAGACAAATAATGTCTCGTGAAAATCATTTTAATCTCATGGGTCTCCTGGCTGCACTTTGAGAACCACTGCTGTAGGAATGTGAAACTGAGTTCCTTTTTCTCTTGGATCTTGTTGCCTCCCGCAGCCTGAGCCCGCCGGGAGAGGCGTGCGGCCGGCTGGGGAGAGCGCCCGGCACCCAGGCGGCAGCGGCCTGCAGAGTGACTGGGCAGGGAGCTCAACTCTCAGCACCGTTCTTTGCCCGTTCAGACCCCTGACCCCCGGGGCCTACACGCCTGAGGCCTAAGACCTAGGGTCTGGGTACATGTTTCAGGTTTTCAGAAACTTAAACTTTTTAATTTGTAAGATAGGCTTTGTTTTGGCCTTGAGATACACTGGGGAAAAGGTGGCCAGATGCAGTGAAGCCGCTGGTCGTTGGAGGGTGTGGTTAGTGGTTGGGACACGTGAGGATGACGTCAGGAACGAACGGCCCAATCATCTTCCCTGTTCTCATTAGACAGACCAGGTGGGCGGCTCTGCTCTGCTGAAGATCGTGGCTTTCTCCCTGGCGTTTGTGCTGGGTGCCAGCGCATTGATTTTCGCATTTTACCGTCGAGGTAAGGTGGGGTGCAGCCCTTCAGGAGGACCTGGGGGAGTAGGTTGCTGCCGCTTCCTGCTCCTTTTCTCCCTCCCCCACACTCCCATTTCTATCGTTGTCTCCATCCTGGTGGAGGAGGTGACGAGGAAACTCATTCTCCCTAACATGCTAACGGCTTCATGTAGCATCCTCCTGATAGAGTTATATTTTGGAAAAGAGAATAAAAATAAGAGCATCTTCATTTATTGGACACTTACTCTGTGTAAGTCCTGATGCTACAATCTTTTATTTATTGATTTGACAGAGAGGAAATGGGGGCCGGGGTGGGGGGGGGGGCGGAGATAGAGGAAGGGAGGGAGAGGGAAGGAGAGAGAGGGAGGGGGAGAGACAAACATCAATTTGTCATCCGACTCATTTATGCACTCATTGTTTGATTTTTTTTTAAATGTGCCTTGACCCGGGATTGAACCCACAACCTTGTTATATCGGGAAGACACTCTAACCAACTGAACTAGCTGCCTGGGGCCCTACTACTAGCCTCTTGATGTGCCTAACTCATTCCATCCTCATTGCTGCCTTATGTGGACAGTGCTGTTATCATCAGTGTCTTGGGGTCAAGGAAACCCTTGCCCAGCTGCCTCTTCTGGCTGGGTTTGCCCCAGGAAGAAAGTCATGAATGATCCCTGGTCTTCTTATCTGTTCCCTTGAAGCAAGCTTTCTAACCTGTGGTCCACAGATGGAACTTGAGGGATAAATGAATCCTTCGAAATCATGTACAGAAGTACTTGTATGTTCTTATCTCCATTTTTCAGAGGGCAGGGTCCATAGTGATCATTAAATTCTCCAGCTGGCCCATGGCCTTCACCCTGACCCCCACTACAAAAAGGAGTCATGAAATAGAGCTTATAGTTTCCATGCAAAGCACAGGCATGTGGTACCTGGTCCTGTTTTTAAATGGTTTGGGGAGGGGGATTGTTCTGTAGTCAGGAACAGAAGCTGTTTCAAGATAGCAAGTGAGGAGATAAGACTAGTAATCATCTCAGCCTGTTTGAGCAACAGGGAAACCTGCATATTTTGAAACCTGCCCCTAGAGAACACTACAAAAGGAAATTTACAAAGGCGTGTTACGGTTTTGGGTGTTCTGGGTAAGTTTCATAAGGACGCGTTTTATAACCCAAATGAGTACTTGAATTGCGGGTGGACAAATGACTCAGGTATGAAGCAGCTTCAGAGCAGTGCCCACAACGGGGGAACAATTTCGTAGCTGATGGGCACTGCCTCGGGGCCTGAAGAAGGGGTCGGCTGACCCAGGAAAAGTAATGGCTTTCCCTGCCAACGCCAGTCCCTAAATTCTCACCTTTAGACTACCTCGGCTTCTCCTAAGGTAGCAGTGGGCTTCCCCCGGCATTCCAAGTGCTCCAGCACCGCACTCCGCTCATACTGTGGCCTTGTCTTTTCAGAGAAAGTCATGAAAACCAATTGCTTCCACAAACACACAAGGTAATTCATCTTGCATGACTGATCGTTGTAATGATAGTACAAGGTGTTACAAGTGATTAGATACTACCCAGTGGTTTAATGACCTGTGCTTGTGTTCTGATTAAACACAGGGTTGGAGAGATGTGACATTAGAGGTGAAAAAGAGGTGGGGATTCAGCTCATATTAACTTCTGTCTTGGTTAACACTGTTAGGCTTGTCCAAAACGCACATGCAAAAACAGGTTGCATTAATAGAAGTATGATGTGCAAAAGAAAGAAGGTGATACATCACTCTGTGCTGGAAGTTCTTCGTTCAACTCTGGGCAACTTACTTTAAAAGGACGTTGTTAAACTGGAATTCATAGAGAGGAGAGTTGGCAGTATGAAAAATGAAAAAAAAAACACCACATAGAATATCATTCCTGGAATATATGGTTTCCTCTGCCCAATTAGATCATAGGAACATTTTAAAAAATAGTTTGACAAGTCTCTAGAAAAGGATTTTTTATATTCATCGTGTTCTATAACTTTTTAGAAAAGAAATAAAAAGATTTGATGTAAACTGTGATGAAGACCTTGTCTTCACTTTATAATTGCATCAATACCATACTATTTTAAAGAAAGAGAAGGGAGAGAGGGAGGGAAGAAGGGAGGGAGAGAGTGAGAGTGAGAAAGAGTGAGGGGGAGAGGAGAGAGACAAAGGGAAACATCAGTTGGTTGCCTTCCGCATGTGTCCCAGCTGGGGATCGTGCCCTGACCAGGAATCGAACCTGCAACCTTTTAGTGCACAGGATTACATTTCAACCAACTGAATCACCCGTCCGACCAGAGTGGAATTTTTTTTTTTTGGGTAAACAAACACCTTTAGGTTGTGATGTTATGTTTTCTAATACAGAAGCTTCTAAACCCCCTATTAGAATAGATTGACAAGAGCCCTTCATCCCCCGTGGCCTCAGCGCTCCCAGCCTTGGTTAGCTGTGTTGCGAATTTAGCAGTGCTGTGTATTCCTGGTCTTGGTGGTTCCCCTTATCAGCCTCTTCTCTCTTTGTAGGCTGGACGAAGCTGGAGGAAGTAAGAGAAGTGTCCTCGATGACGACATCCAGCATGAAAGAGAAGACGAAGATGGTCTTTTCACCCTATAATGTGCCACTTTTGCTTAGAACAGAGGACAGGGGCAGGACGTGTGAATAGTTAAAATTAAGACTTCGAATGTCTGTTGTTGTTTGAAGCCCATTGATTCCACTGGTGTCTCGAGCCAGTCTGGCTCTAGTTCCCCAAGTGAAAGGTACTTCAGAGGCCACACCCTCTCAGCCCAGAGCTTTAATCCCCTCAGTAGCATCACTGCTCAGTGATCTTCCACACTAGGCTTGAACACTCCCAGTGACGATGAGCTCACTACCACACCTAGGGGAGTCCATTCCATCTCAGAGCAGTGCTGAGACTTAGAGATATGTAAAGCAAAGTCTGTCTGCAGCTAGCATGTGCCTATCGGCCATGCTGAACTCGTGGGGCTCACACAGAACATGTCTAATCTCTCTTCTACCTGGTCATGCTGGTAGGAGAACCATGTCTCTGTCCATGACCTCGCCTCTGGGGCACGGTGCCTGGTCCCTTCCCCACCGAAGTTGCCTCTGCCTTGTCTGCACCTGTGTCTCTCCTTTTGCGTCCACCTGTCAGAGCTGAGTGCTCTCCCTCTGCCCCAGGTATGCCTTGCGCTGCCCCGGATCCGTGCTTCGTCATTAAGGCAGGACATGGTGTGGAATCGCACCACGATTTTGACTCTCCTCTGAAACTCCTTGGTTGTCTATTACTTTCTGTTCACATCTGAGTTTCTCTAGAGGTGGGTGACCATGGTGTCACATCGTTATCCTTGCCTGGGGACTTGAATGTTGGAAACAGCCAGGAGTCCACCAGAGCACAACGTGGAGAGTGGCGTGGTCAGCACACGGATCTAAGAGGAAGGCGGTCCAGATTCGCTCCTGTAAATGTAACCCAGGAAAATCTGCTCCTCAGTAGGGCCAGATTTATTTTAAAACCTTTGTAGCCAGCAGCATGAAAAACCCAGAGGGTGAGAGAAAAAGCACCTGGTTGTTGAATGAATGAATGAATGAATGAATGAATGAGCGGAATGACTGTGTAGCTGAGTGAGAGAGGCCTCTGGGTGAGCAGAAATGTGGTAGGTCACCGGATCTGGAAGGGATTCCCCTGACAACACCTGCAGCTCCGTTTAGGGCCATAGCAGCCACAACGCAATAAGCACACAGCCTCTCAAGGAAACCACCTTTTCTGTTTCTACGCTCTCCACGTGACTTTTAGGAGAGGAAGAAAGCAGTCTCATTACTTCCCTGGTGCAGCTTATAGACTCTGTGCGCAGATCCAGCAGTTCATAAACCCCGCCCTCTCCCCTGAGCGCTGGGAAACAGCCTGCCCAGAGGACTGTGCCTTCCGGCTCATTCTTCCGGTGCTCAGTGGAGTGTCAGCCTTGGCGTAAGCAAAGGAAGCAGCTGGCAGCATGCGGGCGGCTCCTTTTCCTTGGCTGAACTTGCTCTCCTCTGTGTTACCCCGAGATACTGGAAATGACTCACATTTTGAAGCTGAGGGGGGGAGCGGATCTAGAGTCAGGCTCACAGCCTCAGTTTCCCCATCTGGAAGTTGGGGGGAGTCTAGATGACCTTGGATAGTCAGGTTCTAATATTTTGTGAGTCTGTGATACAGCCCATCCTAACTTAGCTCATGCGCCCTAGTCACCTTCGAAAACAGCCACCACCGCCAACGCTGCCATCACCCCAGCTCTCACTAGAAAAAGACGGCAAGTACTTCCTGAGCAGAACATTTAAGCTCCTCCCTAAGTGTCCTTCCGTTTTGGCAGCGGGTAGTCCTGGTGTTTTAGAACTGTAATGCCCTCCAGGGGACTCTCGCCTGCAAGGTATCAGTCTTAGCTGATCATTGCAATTAACTGGACAGTTTTTTAAATGTCAACTCCGGAGTCCCATTCTTTAAGAGGTTCTTTTGCAATGGTCTGGGATATAGCCTGAGCCTCTGAATATTTAAAAAAAAATGTCCCAAGTGGTTTCGAAGTGCAGCCAGGGCTGGGGACCTTGGCTCTGTCTGGGTCGGTGGTTATCAAACTGCACTTCAGACCAGCAGGCTCCACATTGCCTGGAGCTTGTTAGACCGATTCTTGTCGCCACCCCAGACCTGCTGAGTCAGAAACTCTTGGGGTTTGGGGAGGCCGGTGATCTGTGTTTTAACAAGCCCTCCACGTTCAAGTTAGAGGACTACTGCAGTGTAGTAATCCCTGGCAGGGAGGGAGGTTTCAGGAAGAGTCTCCCTCATGGGGGTGGGGGGGGGGGTGGCTGTGGCCACCTGGATGGGCGTGTGTCCCGCAGCAGCAAGCAGGGCCCAGGGGGAGGGTGCTGGCTGTCCTTCCTGGGGGGACTCCCGCAGCCAGCTTCCTGACTGTGCTGGCCCACTGTGCTCCTGCCCCTCTCCACCTGGTCCTCCACACTGTGGCCCAGGCACCTTTCCTACACTCAGGTCTGACGTTCCTGTCTCCTGACTTCCACCGTGAGGGGCAGAGAGGCACCCCAGAAGCGGGCTGGGGTGCCAAATGCCGATGGCTTCAGGGGCCGGGCAGCTGACGCAGACGAGCAAGGTGATGGGAAGCAGTGTGGCCACGGCGAAGCAGAATGTGTGTCACTCCTCAGAGGCAGTACCGTTCATCGTTAAAATAACGTCCTAGGCAAGCAACACGTGGCAAGGTCTAGGGCAAGGCAAGCAGCCTGAGACTCAAGGTCCAGGGGGCGGGTTTAAGTGATGGGTTAATAAATATCTAATTCTTACATGAGACTCCGCGGTCCTCAGAGGTGGTCGATGCCGTTGTTTCCCTTTCCCTCTCTGTGCTGTCGGGATGAATTGGTAGCCCGTCCACAAACAGCTTCCTAGTATCTAGTGTGTGGGGGAGTGAGGAGGGGAGGGGTCCCGGGAGAGAGACTTGCTTCGCTTAAGGAGTTTAAAAATCTAAGTGAGATAAAAACACACTTGGGAAATGCAACCGAATGGAGACGTGGCTTGAACAGCTCCTGTTTACAAGGTAGGCCCACATACACCTTGGGGATTTACAGCAACCTGATTCTACCACCTTGACCTTAACCTGTCTAGGCTAAATGAAAGTTAACATCCAATCCTCAAGGAGCAAGCCGTAAGTTCTGGGTACGAGTTTCAAGGCAATTTCTCATTGAATCCTCACATCAGCCCAGTGGACTGGGCATATTCCTGCTTTCAGAGCTGAGAAAACAAAAGCAGAGATGGATGAAGGAACTTGCCCAGAGTCACATAAGTCCAGCACCCCCGTGACAGAGCAGGAAGGACCCCACACTCGGAGGGCCCCAGTGAAAGACTTCCTGCCCGCAGATGAGCAGGCTGGACCTGCAGCGGTCCCAGCTGGATTTTAGTTCACCCAGATGCTCAGCAGGCTGAGTGTTGTGGTGGTTTCCCATCTCCACCCCTCTAGAGTTCAATCTTCCCTCGTCTGCAAATTATTTACTCAGAATCGTATTTGCATTTGCGGAGGAAGCGGCAAGTGGAGAACCTGGCAGGAACCTTAATGAAGCCAGGTGGGACACATTGAAATGCGAATGTGTTGAACTAACTCACGGGGAGCTGAAGCCAGCTGTCAGCAGGCTTAATGAAAGGTTAACAGGAATGCGGCAATGGGCGGCTGGGGAGGCTCTTTGTCTCTCTAAAGAAAACACAAAGTTGAGAAGTGGGCTCCCCGATGCAGGCAAGAGCAGGAGGAGGAAGCCACTTGTAACCAAAAGACTGGGTCTGAAACAGAGTTTCAGTTAGATTTGTAAACAAGTTACAGTCTTAAAAAAAGAAAAAGAAAAGAAGCAGTTGTGAGTTCTCCGCTCCCAGAGCACCAAGGGACCGGGAGGGGACCTGTCCCGGGTTAGATGGATGCTAATGCTGCTAGGGAGCAGGCGGGGGAGCCCTGGAGACGCCTGCTCACAGAGCAGGGTGGGTTCACGCCAGCCCAGCTGGAACAAGGGTGTTCTGCGGTTGTAGGCTTCATCTGCGTCGCACATGGAGGGGACGGGGGAGCAGGAAAGACCCTTACACCTCCTTCGATTCAACTCTTTTCCTTTTTCTTTTTTTTAGTTAGTGAATCTCAGGCCCAGGCAGGGGGAATGAGGTAGCCCACGCTACACAGGAAACCATTGCCAGAGCAGAGAGCCAGTCCTTGTACCTTAGACTTGACCCTGTGGCCGGGTGAATTTTTCCGGTCACGCCTGATTATTTACCCTCCTGACGTCACATCCAGTAGGTTCTCGCTGGTGCACGCAACTCAGCATTTTCCCCCCTTCCATGAGCCATCTTTTCCAGCACATCGTGACCCCAGGGTGGACTGCCACTCCCAGAAAGAGGAATTAGTACAGGGAAGTGCAAACTTTGGCTGTTCTGTTGCTTTTTAAAAAGACACCACTGCCCTGGCTGGTGTGGCTGAGTGGATTGAGGGCCGGCCTGTGAGCCTAAGGGTCGCCCATTGGATTCCCAGTCAGGGCACATGCCTGGGTTGCAGGTCAGGTCCCCAGCAGGGGGCGCACATGAGGCGACCACACGTTGATGTTTCTCCCTCTCTCCTTTCCTTCCCCTCTCTCTAAAAATAAGTAAAATCTTAAAAAAAAAAAAGAAGGAAGAATGACATCACCATAACTAGGGTGACCAGTGGGCCCAGTTTTAAAACTCCAAGTCCCTCCCATGTGCTGGGAACTCCCTCAGTTCTGGGCCACCTGGGAGGGTGGTGGGTCCACGTTAATCCATAACTAAAGTCCATCGAAAGCAGCGACCCTCTGAGTTCTTTCATTCACAGCCCCAGCTCTGGATTTCACGGCAGTGGCTTTGTTTGCAATGGGACTCCGGTGGAGTTCTGTTTGTTCGGACCCAGTGTCAGAAGAGACTACTGAATCTAGGTTCTAGACGCTGGCTGTTCTGAGAGTGGGGCTCCCACCTGCGGTCTTGTCATCGAGGGGAGCCTGTTAGAAATGCAGGTCAGCCCCCACCCTAGACCCTCAGCGCCTGCATTTGGCCAAGGCCTCTCTGGGATTCACACGCACATGAAGGACTGAGAAGCACTGGTCTAAAGCACTGGTTTTTACACCGGCTGCACAGAGGAGTCCTGTGGGCAACTGAGAAAACACACTTGACTCCCCTC